GTGTGGCGGCCACGCTCGAGGATGCTGTCCGTGACTTGGCGGCGAGGTGCGGTCGCGAGCTGCTCCTCGTCCCACAGGGCCTCCGACGGCTTCGGCACCCCAGCAAGGATGCCTCGGAGGTCCACGCCGAGAGGGCCGAGGGAACCTGCCATCTCTGCGGTCCGCGTCCGTGCGCCTGGGCACCCCCTGGGCGGCGTCTCAAAAGCCAGCGCTGCAGGTAGTGCTTGAGTCGAAGAGGCTGTCGCGAGTTTCCTGGAAGTCCTGGCATCGCCGTTGTGCTCGCAGCGGGCGTTCTCGCTCGGATGCGGGCCAAGCTCGGAACAGGCCACGAGAAATGGGTTCGAGGGTGTGGTCGTGATATTCCACGACGCTGCACTTTGAACGGCGTCGAATCTGAGGGCTAAAGGGCTCTGGGGCGCGCGTGGCCAGTGTGTGCCACTTTCAGCGGCGGCCCTGCTGGGATGGCGAGCGCGTCGGACCAGCAAGAGCACTGGGGGACACCTCGCTTGGCATGCGAACTGTAAACATGGAGTGGCGGTGATGGGCGAGGGCTGCGCAAGCGCAGTCCGCAGATCCAAACACCCAGCGTCTCGATTCGTTCGAGGAGCGGCCCCCGACCTTTCGATGCCACTTCCCTGGGACCAACCTGTCCATCCACAACTGTTGTTTGACAGTGCCGAGGCCTGGTAAGGGCCCCGACAGGCCGAAGACCAGGAAATACCTCCGCGTCTCGATGACGCTGGATGTCGAGGCCAGTGTTAGGTCGGGCATGCCCTCCTACAGGCGGGTCTTGACCGAAACATTCAGAAGAACCCCAAACTATACAAACACAATCGAAAGTCGTAGAAACATCGACCTCAGACTCTTTTTTACTATCTTCGAGCATTCATCCTGTAGAGGGACGTGACCGACATGACGAGCTCAGCTTCGTCACGCCTGGGTCCAAGGCCCGCTGCCCGACACCACAGTCGGAGGCTCTGTGTGTCTGTGTGTGTGTGCGTGTGTGCGTGTGTGCAGGCGCGTGTGCGTGCGTGTGCGTGTGCGTGTGCGTATGTGTATGTATGTTTCTGCCCGCGCCGGGCTTCTTCCTTTCCCCTTGCGCATTGTGGCTTAATTCGCGTTCCGTGCATCCCACGTACAAACCCATTGCCAGCGCAGTTACTTTGCCCAGACGCTGAAGCAAAAGTGTGCGTGTGTGTGTGTGTTGTGCGTTGTGTGTTGTGTGTTGTGTGTGTGTGTGTGTTGTGTGTTGTGTGTTGTGTGTTGTGGGTTGTGTGTTGTGTGTTGTGTGTTGTGTGCGTGCGCGTGCGTGTGCGCGTTCGTGTGCGTGTGCGTGTGCGTGTGCGTGTGCGTGTGCGTGTGCGTGTGCGTGTGCGTGTGCGTGTGTGCGCGTGCGTGCGTGTGCGTGCGTGTGCGTGTGTGTGTGTGTGTGTGTGTGTGTGTGCGTGTGTGTGTGTGTGTGTGTGCGTGTGTATGTGTGTGTTTTTTCCTCCGGAGAATCGCTAACTGACGCGCGACGACGACCCTTCTCCCCGCGACACCCGAAGGCTTGGCCCTGATCCCCCCGCGGGGGGCGGCCCCCCGGCCCCCCCCCAGGGCGCGGCCAGATCCAACTCTCGACGGAGGTACCCGCGTGGCGACGAGGGACCCACGCCTCCCTCCGGCGGCGAGCGCGGGGGGGGGGACGGTGACAAGGAGGAGACCTTCTCAGACGGCGGTGGGGCGCCTCAGCAGCCCTGGCGCCTCTTGAAGACAATGTGTCTCTGCGTTGTCGGGGAAAGTGCAGAAAACTTCTCGGAGGGCCAGGGGATGTCCAAGCCTTCTGAGGCGCCCCGCCCCTTGCCACTTCCACCCCTCCCCTGCCGCCGATCCGACCAAGCTCGTTCCCGCAGAGAGAGAGAGAGAGAGAGAGACGAAACGTCATACGCATCGGCTTGAAAAAGGTCCAATTCTAGGCGAAATCACCCTGCGTGCACAGCTTCTGTTGCCCGCGGGCCCGGCGAGCGCGCGGACCTGTCGAGCAGCTCCGCGGCGCCGAGCAACGAATCAGGCCCATCACCAGACGGAAACAAAAACGGGGCAGATCGGCCGCGGTGATGTGGGGGAGGAGCAACAGGCCTCGGATGAAATTATAATCAGCCCGCATAATCAAGACGCACGAAAAGGATGCAACGGCCTTGGAAGGCCATGTCGACACCTTGCGAGCGGGGCGCGGCCAGCGAAAGCGGCCAAAGATGGGCCGAAGGGGAAAGATGCAAGGGTAACCTTGGGACGTCGGTCATCTTTACGATGCGGGTTGACTGTAGCCCGCACCCATGCCAAAATTCATCGGTCAATGCCCCCCAGTGGTCCATGCTGGCAAAGGGCTGCGTGAGTTGCACTTCGACCGCAATCTCCCCCGCGCGTACCAATCTTGACTTCGGGAGACGAGGGAGTGCCAACGAATTGTCTCCCTCTGCCGAAGGGCAGCAGCGATTTCAGGCCGTCCATGTCTTCGTCAGCGGTTCCGGTACTTCGCCACCGGGTTCCTGTCCAAGGCGTTCCCTTGCAAGCACATCGTCTTCGGCACCGCCTGATCCCGAGGCTTTGCCTCCTCCTGGCCTTGACGTGAGGCCTCTCCTTCTGTCCCCCCCTGTTTGTTCATTCAAGCTTCGCGCGGCCCGCTTAGCTTCGACCGGAAGAGGTGCGCTCTCGACCCACGAATCAAAAAAATGTCTTCGTCAGCGGGCTGCGGCCCGGGGTCGCGACCGAGCAGCACGCCCGGGACCATTTCGTCCTGGAGGACGTGCCGCAGATCGGCGAGCTGGCCGAGGACGGCCAGGCACACGCAACGCCCGAGGCGTCTCGGGCACACCAGCGACCGCACATCCTGTCCAGCGCGCTTCGCGTGCCGGAGACGGGCCCGGGAGCGGCATCCCGAGTGGTGCTGAGGCTTGCCGTCGCTCGGACGTCCATTTCCCGTGCATGTTCGGTTTCGTGCGTGTGTTTTGTTGCTTCATGGTCCAGGATGGTCCTCGATGGTTCTCGCCGAGAAAAAATGCACACGTCCGAGCGATGCCAAGGAGGGAGGAGGGGCCTTCGGACGTCCGATACTCGTGTTGGTGTGCGCTGCTCCGCCCTCCGAGTTACGGTCAGGAGGCTTCGCGGAGCGCGTGGCGTCGGCGGCCCCTGCAACGCGCCACGCCGCGCAAGCTGGCAGCACGTCGCCCTGCGTCGCGGGACGGGAGGCAAGGGAAAGCTGAGAACGTTGATGCATGGTTGCCAGAACGAAGACTAGGACCTGCTTGGGGACTCGAGCTATTACTAGAGCTAGGATTAGGGCTAGAACTAGGACTGGGGAAGGCTCGGAACGCTGATCGGGGAGAAACGCTTGGGACCAGGACTGGCCCAGCTCGTCGCGCCCTATCACGGCGGGCCCGAAGTAGCAGCGCGACACGTCGAGCAAAGGCTCCTGACCGTCCTGACCGTTCCTCCCGGGCCTCACCCCTGCCGCCCCCCTCAAACCTGGAGCCGTGAGCTCGGGCCCCGTCCCAAGGAGCAGAAGGCAGTCCTGGCAGCACAAGGCCCTGAACATAGATCCAATGGCAAAGGTGCGCCCTTACGCCCTCTGCGGCAAAAGAGCCTCGACGGCACCTGTGTACGCATACGTATAGATGTTGACACACACACATCTATACATGTACATCTGTATAGAGGGAGCCTACGGAAAGTGAAGGGTACTGTAAAGAGAGAGAGAGAGAAGGGGGGGGGGAGAAAACAGAAACTGCGCAAAGTATAGCGGGCACTGACGTACGGAAAACACTGAGGGATAAACTATACGGGGGACCGCTCTCACTCCTGCTTTGTGTGCCGCCATCCTCCCTCCGCTCTCCCTCCTCTGTCCTCCCCACTCCGCCTCTCGTCGACCTCTCCTCGCCCTATCTCCCCCCGTCTTTCCCCCTCCTCCTCCGCCCCACCCGCGCCCCCAAACCCCCCTGCTCCGAGAAAGCACGGCGGCGAGGCGAGGCCGGGACGCTGGCCAGGGCGCCGACGACGCCGACGGCGACGACCGCGGAGGTCTTCGGAGCCCCGCGGAAGTCTCTGTCCTGACCTAAGGAACCCTAAATAAGGAACGAGGTCCCCTTTTTTCCCATAAGTTCAACCTCGATTTCCTATGGAAAACCTCAAGAAAACCCGAGGCTAACTTTGAAACAATCAAGGAACACCGAGCCCCTCCCCAGCGAAAAGGGTTCCTTCTTCAGGGCCCTGCACTGCCCCCTGGAAGAGCACTGCAGCGCTCCCGCGCGGTCCGTCTCCCCGCGCCCCTCCATTTCGATGTTCGCGCGGGGCGCCGCGCGACCCGATGTGTCTCTCGTCGGCCGTAGCCGACTCGACATGGAGATGTACCCCGGCTTAGAATTGGAGAAGGCTTTCGGCCAAGAAAACGGACTTCACGCCGGGCGTGTTCTTACACAGCAGTCCAGGTCCAGGTCCAGAACTACGAACACTCTACGAGAACAAGCGCGCCAACGGCGCATGAACCTGCCGTACCTGTTTTTGGCGGCGAGCGAGGGGGGGGAATAAGACGGAGAAGGCCTGCTCAGAAGGCGGAGGGGCTTCTCAGAAGTCCTCGCGCCTTCTGAGAAATTCTCTGTCTTCGGAGAAGGCTCAGGAAACCTTCCAGACTGCCAGGGGACTTCCGAGCCTTCTGAAAAGGCCCGCCACTTCTAGAAGCCCCCTAGATGGGGTCGGAGTGGATGGGGTCGGAGGATCGCGCCGCATCGCCGATACATCGGCGATGCGCCGGCGATGCATCGTCGACGTGGCCGATGCATTGGCAACGTCAACGTGAAGCAAAACGGGCTCCACGTCGAGCCGCATCGGTGATGCATCGGCGAAACGGCGCCATCCTCCCACACCATCCACTCCGACCCCAGCTAGGAGGCCTAGACCTTCTCACTACTTCCCCCCCGGGCTCGCCGCTGATCTTCCTCCTCCGCCCCCCCCCCCCGATCGCGCGCCGAGCGGAGCCGCGGCACAGGGCGCGGGGAAGATCTGCGGCACGGCCAGCGGCCGCAGGCCGGGCACCTGCGTCACGGCAGTCCGCCACGAGGGCGGGCGGCGGGAACTCTGCGACGCCAAGGCCCTCCTCCTCCTCCTCCTCCTCTCCTCCCTCCTCCTCCTCCCTCCCTCCTCCTCCTCCTCCTCCTCCTCCTCCCTCCTCCTCCTCCTCCTCCTCCTCCTCCTCCTCCTCCTGTTCCTTCTCCTACTCGCCCTCCTCCATCTAGCTTCGCGCATCGCGCCCCACGACGCGCGGCGCAGGATCATCTTCACGCCACCGCGCTCTCGCACCCTCCCCTTGGAGGAAAGGCAGCCGCTCTCGCCCGGACCATGCCGCGGGAAGCGCGGCGATCTTCTTCGCGCCCCTCTCGGGCCACCCAGAGATGCGATGCAGCGGCAAGAGTTGCAATGCTGCGCAGCACCGCGACCTGGAACCGCATGACCCCATCTCTCGGTGGCACTTCACTCGAGCCGGGTCGACCTGCGAGGCCCGGACCCACGAAGAGGGCCTCGCCCGGCGCGGCAGAGGCTGCGCCCGCCACGACGCACACATACTACTACAAGATGTTTCGGCGCGCGCGTCGTCCCTGGGGAGAGGGGGGCGACGAGCACATAGAATTAAAATATTGGGGTGGCGCCAGTAAAATCTAAGGACAACCTAGTACAGACTGTACAACCATCAAAAGAGCTCTGGGCCCCTCCCCAGCGAACAGAAAGGTTCCTTCTTCGGCGGCCCAACCGTAGTGCGGGGAGCTTGCCATCGCTCGGACGTCCACTCCCTGTGCATCGTTCAATTCCGCACGTGCCTCTTTTGGCAAAATGATCCAGGATGGCCCTCGTTGCTTGCGACCAAGAGCGATTCTGCATAACTCTGGGAGCTTGCCATCTCTCGGACGTCCACTCCCTGTGCACATTTCAATTCCGCGGGCGCCTCTTTGGGAAGAGGACCCAGGATGCTCCTCGATGGTGACGTCCAGGATTTGTTTGCAACCAATCTGGGAAATCAGCCACCGCTCGGACGTCCACTCCCTGTGCATCGTCCAATTCCGCGCGTGCCTTTTTGGCAAGAGGATCCCGGATGCTCCTCGCTGGCCCTCGCCGAAAAAAAACAGGCACACGGTCGAGCGATCAAGGGAGACGCGAGACTCGGGTTCGGCCAGCCTTTGCGGAACACTGGAGCAGCCCGCACGAGCAAGCGAGCCTCGGGGCAGACGCCACAAACGGGACTTAGGCGTAGCGGACTTGCGATTGGGCCTCTGGCCCGTAAGCCGCTCGCACACCCCAGCGGGCACAAGCATCCGCCCCACTGGGCCTATGGGGCTGCCACGCCAGGTCTGCCGGACCCCACCCGCACAGCGGCCCGTCCTCGCTCCCAGGGTGGAGGGGAAGGGTGGAGGCGAGGGACCCAGACACCCGACGTCATGATTTTTTCAATGGCGCGCCCCCGGCGCCACGCGCGCGCGCGGGCTCCCGGGAGCGGGGCGGGGCGCTGCGTGAGCCGGCGGCGCGGGCGTTCGTCGTTCTCGTCGTCGCCGCCGCCTCCCTTCCTTTCGCCTTCCCCCCGTTGTCTTGTCTCCTCTTCCCTTTCTCTTCGCTCGCTTCTCTCGACGTTGACACCCGGAGGTCTCGACCTATCCCCCAGGACTGGTTGCTCCTCCTGAGTCGTTCTTTGACGGCCCCGAGGCCCAACCAGGGCCCCCCAAGGCCGAACATAGTGAAGCACCTCCCGCCATGAGGTTTGTCATTGCTCGATGGGGGTCTGGGGAGGGCCCGCCGAGCCCACCCGGGCGCCTTCGAGGGCCCGCAGGCCTAACCCTGGGGGTGGTTGCCGGTCGACCCCCAGAGGTCTCGACCCATTCCAGGGACCGGTCTTTCATCCTGGGTCCTTTGCTGGCGGTGCTGAGGCCCAGTCAGGGATGGCCCCCAGTGGGTCTGGAACTCGAGGCCCAGTCAACAAGGGACTCCAACACCTTCCGTCGCGATTTTTTCATGCCTCGAGTCCTGTCATCCTGAGTCATTTGTTGGCGGCCCCGAGGCCCAGTTAGTAAGGGCCCCCAGAGGCCGAACATGACCCCGAAGCCTCCTGCGTCGCGATTTTTTGTTATGCCTCGAGGAGGTCTGGGATCATGCGCCCACCTGGGAGGCCTAGACCCAAAGGCCCTATGGACCTCGAGCTTGAGCGCGAATTCATGGGGGGGCGATACATGGGGGCGGTGGGGGGGAATGGGCCGTTAGGGCCTCGAAGGGGGCGACTTAATGGGGGCCTTTAGAGTCCAGAAGGGAGCGAATTGATGGGGGGGAGAAAAGTGCCCTTTTCGGGCCCGATTGGCCCCCTTCCGGGCCCTGAGGGGCTTCTTTACTGGCCCGTAAGGGCTCCTTGCCTGCAGCCCATGCTGCCCCTCCCCAATACACGTCGGACGGAAGAAGTAGGCAAGAACATGAGGTAGGAAGGCGGAGAAAGTATATCGGGCGCTCAGGCACGCACTCCCGGAGCATGCCAAAAGCACATGAAAAGCATGCAGTGTGTTGAAATAGAAGGGCGCTCGAAATAGAGGCTGGGATCTGTGAGCCGAAACAAATCAACGTTCTGCGACACCAGCGTGCACGCGGCCTCCAACGAGCCTCGGGGCTCGGGTGAGGTCGGGCATGTCCTCCTACTGGCGGCTCTTTGGAAGGACAATAAGACATAGCGAGGCAAAAGGCAAACGTGATGAAGACAGAATCCAAACATCGTCACCAGACTACTCTTTGACTTCTCTTCAACACACCGCCATCAAAACATAATCCAAACACATGATGGCCGCGAACCGAACCGAGAACCGAGAACCGGGCCTGGAACCGAACTGGCCGAAGCGAACCGACTTGCCAAACCGAACTGGCCGAACCGAAGCGGCCCGCGGTAGGAACCGAAACCGCCGAAGCGACCCGGCCGAACCGAACCCGTCGAACCGAACAACTGGCCAGCCAGGCGAACCGAACCGGTCGAACCGAACCGGCGGAGCCGAACCGGACGCACCGAACCGGGTGGTCAGATGCCAGTTCGGGGCGCCCCAAGCGCAGCCCGCAGCACTCTTGCGTGCCTGAAACATGACCACTCGTGCATCCTCCGCCTGCCGAGGGTCGGCTACACGCAGGAGTGACCCTGGGTAAGAGTGACCCTTGGTGCGCGGCTTCTTGGGGGCCGCGGGGGGGCCAAACTCGGGCGCGCAAGGACGCCACTATCGCACCGCGTTCGGCGATTGGGGGGGCCCCACATGGGCCCGCACTAAAGGTCACTCCGGCGAAAGGTCACTCTTGCGTCTAGTCGAGAGGGGCGCGCCCGACCTACGGCTCCGGGCCGCCGGGCGCGCGGGCGCCTTGAGCTCCTGGAGGCCCGCCATCAGCGGGTTCGGCAGGGCCTGCGGCGGCGGCCAGGGGCCCTGCTGCTCCTGGCCGCCGGCGTGGGCTCCTGGCCCCCCGCGCCGGGCCGCCGCCGCCGCCGGCGTCGGCGTCGTCGTCAGATTCGGTTCGGAGACAAGAGGCGCAGGGGGCGTGATGTGCGCGTGGTCCGCACTTCGCTCTGGACTCGGCCAGGGCGTTCTGGAAGCGGCACCCTGGACTGCGTGGAATGCGGGCGCGAGGAATGTGGACCCCAGGGATGGCGAGGCAGGGGGTAGCTGGTACGAGGCAAGCGGGAAGAAGAGGAAGGAGGCGGGAGGAGGAGAGAGAGGATGAGCATGCTGGGCAAGGATGAGAAGGAGAATGAGGAGGAGGAGGAGGAGGAGGAGGAGGAGGAGGAGACGGTAGGAGACGCGATCACAGCACGCCATTCAAAACGGAAGCGCAGCAAAGGAGGGTTGGGGAACATGACAAGCGGCCCTCATCAGCTCCCAATTATTGAATTCTGGGCTCTTCGGGAATTCTGGAGTTCTGGGCTCCCAGACGTCCAGCGTCTCGGAAACATCGGTACGTAAGTTTTGCGTAGTGTTCGGCATCCTGGGGCCCTTTCTGGGCCTCGGGACCTACAAAACAACAACTCAGGCTGAAAAAACAGTCCAGGGAAAAAGGTCGATAGGTCGGGGGCCCGTGTCTCGAACAAATCGAGACGCTAGATGTCTGGGCATATGGGCTAGGCTGGCAATCACAACTTGGGATCGCACCTTTCTGACCTGTTCAGCTTTGCTGTAAACATTGGGCCAGAGATCCCGAGGGATCCTGTCGAGGCAGTCGCGACGATTGCAGGTGGCTTGCCTAGAACACGCCAGACCGATGTGTGTGTGTGCCCAGCTGCAAACGACCCACAGGAGGTACTCATAACCCAACACACAGCCCCATATGGTACCTTACAAAAATGGTTTTCGTGGGGAATCCCCCTGCAATGTGCACCCTTCGCCTTGGAGGGCTTCCAAATCATAAGGCCGAGACTTCCCCAGCAATGCAGGGCAATGGCGAACAGAAAACATTTCGATATAGGTTTTAGATAGGTTCAAAAGTAGGTTCGGGAGATAGGTTCGCAAGCATAGTAGGTCCCAGGAAGAAGGTGCAACGCGCGGGGAAAACGTGTCATCGGGCAGATAGCCTCCCGTTACTGGGTTTGCCAAAGCGCGTCGGCGCAAATGCCGCGGGCAGCTAAGTTGGCGAAGCGAATTCGCCAAACTAGCCCTGGCGAGTGCACCCGGGGACGTTCCCTGGCCGCGGTAACCTCGCCAAGAAGGTTTGCAATGAAAAACGGCGTCAGGGCTGCATTTCAGGCAGGGGCCGCGACACGTTTCGCGCGATGCACCCTCGGGCACTAAACATAGAAAATTAACGAGAGCGGCTGCGGAGAAGACCTCCGAAAACACGACCCGCCAGAAAAGCAGTCACGACGATGGGCGACCCAAAAATCAATTGGGGCAGCCCCGGCAACTGGCACGGCGAACAACGCAACTCAAGGAATCCCGGACAAGCCGGGCCGCCACCAACAATCACCCCGTACCAATACCGTGCCCCGGCGGGGTTCGGACACGCCATGGCTCCTCCTCATTATCACGGCCGCCCCGCCCAAGGTCATTCTGCCCTCCCCAAAGCCACTCGTTATCAATCACATCATGCTTCCCATCATCGCCCCCCTTGCCTCACCATCCTCCCCCTCGTCAGCCGCAGCATCCACGTTCTCATCCTCCTGCCCCCGATCCTCCCCGCCCTCCCCGCCCCCCCCTCCTCCTCCTCCTCCTCCTCCTCCCCCCCCTCCTCCTCCTCCCCCTCATATTCCCCATCTTGTTCCTACCTTTTCCCCCTCATCCCCCCTTCATCCGCCCCTCATCCTCCGCCCGATCCTCCGGGTCCTCTTGGTCCTCCTCCTCCTACTCCTCTCTCCTGTTCCTCCTTCCTCCTGGCCCTCCGTTTCCTCGACCTGGCTCTCCTCCTCCTCCTCCTCTTCTTCCTCCTCCACATCCTCCTCCCGGCTCTCCTCATCCACCTCCTCCTCCTCCTCCTCTCCCATTCCTCTTCCTCCTCCTCCTCCTCCCCCACATTCTCCTCCACCTCCTCCTCCTCCTACCTTCAATCCCTGACCTTCCATGCTTCCGAAAACAGTTTGAAGTAGGTTTGAAATAGGTTTGAAGTAGGTTTGAAGTAGGTTCGAAGTAGGTTTGAAGTAGGTTTGAAGTAGGTTTGAAGTAGGTTTGAAGTAGGTTTGAAGTAGGTTTGAAGTAGGTTTGAAACCTACTTTGAGGCCTCCGAAACCTACTTTGAGGCTCCTAAAACCTATTTTGAAGCCTCCGAAACCTACTTTGCGCTACCGAAAACCTACTTTTGGAATCCGGAAACCTTCTTTGGAACCTACTTTGCAAAAACAAATTCTGCAAACCTACTTTCCGACCTACTTTGGGGGCGCGGTTCCTTGAAACATCAGCACACGCTTGCCCGAGCCTTTCCCAGAAGTCGCCCCCGGGGGCGGCGCGCCAAAAAAGGAATCTGCGAAGTACCCCCAGAAGGTGAGCAAACCCAAAACACTTGTAGGTTGCCCCCGACAGGCGGGAGCCCCCCAAAGGGGGCGGTCTCCCCCCCCCCCCGAGGGTCGAGGATCGAGCGCGATTTCGCTGTCGGGCGACAAGCGAACGTACCGCGACAGGACAGGGCCTTTTGGCAGCCCCCCCGCTGGCGGGCAGGGGGCCGCCGCCTGGCGCCCTAGGTTCTTCAGAAACCAAACCTGATGCGGCCGCCCCCCGCCCCCCGGGGCCCCTCCGGGCCCGGCCCGACGGAGGCGCCACTCCCCTTCCGTTTCTCTTTCCTCCTCCCACCTCTCTCCACCTCCTCTCCTCTTCCACGCGCCCTCATTATTCCAGCCTCCCTCCACCTCCTCCCCCCGGAAACGCCACCTCCCCCCTACCCGCCTTCTGGAGCCCCCCACCCTCCCGTTTCTGACCTTCTTAACCTTCCTGGTCCTCCCTCTCGCCCCCCCCCCCTCCCCCTTGCTCGGGCCCGCGGCCCTCGCCCCGCCCTCCATGCCCCACTTCCCGCTGTGGTCAGACCAAGGGGGAAACGCAATGCCCCCAGATCTCAGGACGGAGGTGGTTTAGAGCGCTTCCTGTTCCAACAACCCCCAGTCTTCCCTTCGGGGATGGATGCGCCCCTCCCCCCCCCTCCTTCCGGGGCCTGCAATGGGGGGCGGCGGATCGGTGGAGCGCCCGGGACGGTCAAAGATAGAGCCGGCATGACCTCGCAGAATGCAACGCGGTCTCACAGATGGTTCAAGATAGCCCAAGATGGATCAACATTGTTTCCCGCATGCTCCAAGAAACCCAAATACCGCTCCGAGACCGCCCCAAGCGGCCGCGGAGCCACCCAATAACACCCCCGAGAAGCCGAAATCTTTCCAAATCGTACGAGACACGAATGAATTGGGCCTTTTGGTCCATGCGCTTCCGAAGACTTTGGAAGCCTGAAGATAAGCCCCGAAGGAGTCCAGAAGAACCCAAGACAGCGCACTTCACGAATTACTCGGCTGGCTTGCTAGCAGAAGCCGCGCCTTGCCGGCGGCATTCCAGCATTTCCCCGAGAAGCTTGTTTGGAAAATATCATTACTGACCCGATCCCGACAAGTTACTTTTGATATTGTGTTCCCGACAACCTTTCCTGGAAAGCTACTTTTGCACATGAATGTCGCATTCCTTTCCCCTGAAAGTTTCTCGCGGCAATCGGTTTCGCCATCCTTTCCCTTCGAGTTACCTGCGCCGACCACTGTTGCCAGGCGCGCTGCAGACCTACTTCGCCGACCTACTTCAGGAGCTACTCTAAACCTACTTCATTTGTTTTGCGCCTCAAGCAAGCCCTGCATTCAAAGGGAAGTCTCGGTCATAAGGCCGAGGAGATGGCGAAGAAGGAGGAGGCGGCGGAGGGTGAGCCAGAGGTCGCGAGGATGGGCATTGGCGGCCGCCAGAATCCCACTTCTCCTCGTGGTGCTCTGTGCCCTCCCCGAGGTCCGTCTTGGCCCGGCAGCGTGCTGATGGAGGGGCCGTGCTGAAAGGGCCCCGCAGCCGGGTACGTGCCGATCCTGCCCTCCGCATTGGGCCGACGTCAGCGTCGCCAGCGGCAGCGGTCGCGACACCGATGACGAGGCCCCCACTCATCCTCAAGGCTCTCGCTCATGCTGCAGCTCCCCACCCTCCTCCTCCGCCACTGCCCCGCCTGCGCCTCGCCTTCCTCATTCTCCACCACAACCATCATCAGCATCATCCTGCTCCTCCTCCCCCTCCTCCTCCTCCTCCTGCTCCTCCTCCACCTCCTCATGATGATGATGATGATGATGATGATCATCATCATCATCATCATCAGCATCAGCAGCATCATCATCATCATCATCATCATCATCATCAGCATGATCATCATGATCATCATGATCACCATCATAATCATCAGCATCGCATCAGCATCAGCACCAGCATCACTATCATCATCAGCATCAGCAGTCTCGTCATCATCATCACCATCATCATCATCGTCCTCCTCCTCCTCAGCGTCATCATCATCACCATCACCATCACCACCAACACCACCATACTCGTAATCAGCATCATCACCATCACAATCATCATCAGCATCATCAGCATCACCATCGTCATCCTCCTCCTCCCCCTCATCACCATCATCATCATCATCATCAGCATCATCATCATCATCATCATCATCGACATCATCATCGTCATCATCATCAACACCATCTTTTTACCATCATCACAACAATCCTCATCATCAGCACAATAATCAGAAACATGATAATACAACCATGATCATCATCACCACCGCCATCACCATCATGACCGTCATCAGCATCAGCATCAGCATCAACACCATCATCATCAGCATCATCATCACCGTCATAATCAACATCAATATCGTCAGCATCAACATCATCAACGGCATCATCATCATCATCATCACCATCACCATCACCATCGACATCATCATCAGCAGCAGTAGCATCAGCATCATCATCATGATCACCATCGTCATCATCATCATGATCGTCATCATCATCATCATCAGCGTCACAGCGTCATCATCCTCCTCATCGTCATCATCACCATCACCATCACCACCAACACCACATTAATCATAATCAGCATCATCATCAGAATCATCACCATCATCATCAGCATCATCATCATCACCATCGTCCTCCTCCTCATCATCAACAACAAAAGCATCATCATCATCATCATCACCATCGTCCTCCTCCTCATCATCAACAACAAAAGCATCATCATCATCAGCATCATCATCATCATCGTCATCATCACCAGCATCACCATCATCAGCACCAGCGTCCTTACCATCATCACGACGATCCTCATCATCAGACCATTCATCAGCCGCAGGATGATGACCATCATAATCATCATCACCATCGCCATCACCATCATCATCGTCATCAGCATTAGCATCAGCACCATAATCATCACCATCATAATCAACATCAGTATCGTCATCATCAACATCATCATCGGCATCATCATCATCACCATCATCAACTTCATCATCATCATCAGCATCAGCAACATCATCATCATCATCATCATCATCATCATCATCATCATGATAACCATCGTCATCATCATCACCACCGTCATCATCCCTCACCATCATTACGCTGCCCCTATTCAATATCCTCATCCTGATCCTGCTCCACTCTGGACGTAGCGAAGCGAAGCGAACGCCGGAGTCGTGCGCGCTCCTTTGGGGAGACCGCCCATGCCCATGTGGCATGACTGCGAGGGTTTCGCTGTGGTCTACTCTGCAAGAAGAGGAAGCGAAGGACGATGAGAACTTCGAGGAGATGGCAAGGAAGGTGAGGACCAGAATGGGGAGGAAGTGGATGAGGAGGAGTGGTGGACGAGAACCAGAAATGGGGAGGAGAAAGTTGACTGGGAGGGGGAGGAGCAGGAGAGGAGGACGACTGGGAGGTGGATCAGGACAAAGGAGCAACACGATGATGATTAGGAGAGGAAGCAGAAGAAAGAGGGGACGAGTAGGG